GATGATGGGACGATGCTGAGTGGTTGGAGGGAGAGGACTGGGAAGAGGAGCTGCCGGAAGCTGGAGAGGTAACAGGGCTGAGTGAGCAGGGAGAGTCTGTGGCAGAGAGAAGACCAGAATCAGAGGCAGAAACAGAAGCCAGGGAGGAGGGAGGTGATGAGACAGAGATGAGTCCTGCTGAAGAAGGATCACAGGTGTCTCCCCCTCCTGATGTGACAATCTCCCTTCCCCAGTTGTTTCCCAGAACCCAGAGAGGCATGAAAAGGGCGGAGGAGAGGTAGGTTGGCTGCATGCAGCCGCAGTCTTAGATTGCTTGGGAAAAGCCCTGCAGTGGAAGGGAAGGCTGTGAGGAGGCATAGTCTCGGCAACTGGTTTTCATGGAGGAAGACCACTGGGAATGTGCTGCTCAGACTATTAGGCCTGACACTCAACCCCAAGTCTTGGGGGATCATGTTTTTGCTAATAAAGAGTTAACTCCATCTTTGAACTGTGTAAATTGTAAAAATGCTCCTTTCAAAACCTGACCACTCTGTAAGACCTCAGACTGGGCAGGTTATTTTAAAATGATAAGCACAAACAGATCCTGCTCCAAATGAGGTGCATTCCCTACTTAGGATTCCTCCAAAGAATCCTGGGAACTGTAGCTTATTAAAGGCGTTGAGAGTTGTTAGAAGACCCCTCACATCACCCTTCACAAACTACTGTTGCGAGATTCTTTGGGGGAAGCCACAATTGTTATATTATTATAAAAAGGTAAAGGTAAAGAGACCCCTGAGAGTTAAGTCCAGTCTCAGACAACTCTGGGGTTGTGGTGCTCATGTCGCTTTATGAGCCGGCATTGTCCGCAGACAGTTTTTCCGGGTTGTGTGGCCAGCATGACTAAGCCACTTCTGGCGCAACGAAACACCGACACCAGAGCAGCGCACGGAAACAGTGTTTACCTTCCTGCTGGAGTGGTACCTATTTATCTACTTGCACTTTTTTTGGCATGCTTTCAAATTGCTAGGTTGGCAGGAGCTGGGGCCGAGCAATGGGAGCTCACCCCATCGCGGGGATTCGAAACGCCGACCTTCTGATCGACAAGCCCAAGAGGCTAAGTGGTTTAGATCATCGCTTATAGCAGTATAGGAATACTTTAAATGTGTTCTGTGGATGGGGCCCCCCTAAAGCCCACGGCAACAACTTGCCTGCTCAGTTCTTGCTCTGGGTCTATGTCTGAGATGCTGTTGGCATTTGGGACTGTTTCCTCAGGCTCCCAGCAGGGCTTCCTTGCGGGGTGAGGGCCTCTCTTCTTTGCCCGCTTCATGCAGATCAGCATCCCATCACCAGCATCCAGGTAGTCCTCCTGAGTCACACAGAGACATTATATAGCACCAAGGCTGGCTCCAGAGACATGGATTTGGGCATCAGGACCCTGAGCCCAGCAGAGGGCCCACCGTCTAAACCAAACCACACTTTCCACTTTGCACAGAGAAGATCGGTTGGAACATAAGAGATCCCTCAGTTTGCTCTTCCAGGTTGGGGTGAGGAGCCAAGAATGTCATGCCTGAGGGCACACCCAAAATCCTAGCAGCCAGGAAACACTGGTAAAACACAGTCTTTTTCCAGTGGCAGTTTTACCACTGGTTTACCAATGACTGCAGTGATTCTAGTGGTACTGGGCAGGACTTTGGGGCAGATGCCCAGGACCCCTCAGCAGAATGAGACCTCCTAAATACAGCAGTAGGATGTATCATTTTACAGGGTAGAACTTACTTCTTGTTAACTTCTTCAGTGAGGAGCCTTAAAAATACCTTTTTGGGTGTGAGGAATTCAAATCTGCTATTATTTTTGTGATTGGACAACATTTAGCTTGGCAAGTCTACATTTTATGAAGCATAGAATAAATTGCTTTAGGAAAACCAATGAATTTTAATTTTACCTTCTGAAAATGTCAGTCATGCTAAATAATAATAATAAATAAAAACAATATTAATATGTAATATACAACTGCAAGTACTTGGCAATCATTTGTCATGATTTCCATGCAATTTCACACACATTTTACGTACCAATACAAACTAAATTAAATCAATACTGTATAACCAAGCAATATATTTTGAATTCCCAAGCCATCGTACAACTTTTTCGCGCCTCTCCTTTTGGGAATTGGTAAGCTGACAAATTCAGCATGCCCTAATTGCAGCAGGGACTGCCTTACCACATTTCAAAGTAAATTAAGCAATGTGCATCGTGCCTTTGCTTTGAACTGTGCGATTTACTGACTGGCACACTGTGAATCTGAGGCTTAAAAATATATTTAGGCATGCGTGTTCACTTGCATTCTGCACCCTTTCCCTCCCTGCCATACAACTTCTGGTACAAGTTACGAAATCAACTCCAAGGGGAACAATGATTCCCATGCAGACCAACTGAGAATTTCCCATCATTCACCTGGGCCCCATCACTCTCTGGCTAGGAGCTGGCAATCGTCTGGCTTCCAAGGGCCACAAGCAGCAATGGGTGGGTGTCTGGGGGCTACATGCCAGTGGCATGGCCGCACCTGGCAGTTGGTGTGACCTTGGTGGACACATTCACATTACTTCTCTCTGGTTTTCAAAGGCTTACAGGTCCCTGTGAGGCAGACCCCTCCCCCAAGTAGCAAGGGAAACACGCTTGGAAAGTATATGAGGTACACAGAAGCATTTTGGCCACGCTGATATTGCTGAACTAAGACATCTATAATCCCAGGCCATTGGCCATGCTTGCTAGGGCTGATGGGCGTTGTAGTTTAACCACGAAGGCCAAATTTTCTTCACACCAAATATCACTGGCTGGAGAAACCGTGACTTCACCTCTTTGTACAGTGCCTAAGGAAGGAGCATATTAAAACAGTGCTAATCTTGTTGTCTTGTGTGTGAGAAGTATGGCCTCCACGTATGGGAGCAAGAAACCCCCGTTGCCCTCTCCGAGCTACCTGCTGTGGAGGAGAGCTCTCCGAGATCAGGCCCAAAAGCCGCACCTGCCCCTTTGGCTCATAGATGGTGCCGGCGATCCGGTTAATGGGGTCCACTGAGGGCTTGACACAGGCATTGGTCAGCACCGAGTGGCGATGAGGGTTCAACATGGTGCCCACGACAACATGGAAGGGGACGCATCAGCTTTCCAGTTACCACAGCAACCGGCCTACTTCCAGAACAGCCTGAGTGGCAAGCTTCCGGAACAATGCATGGCTCTCCCCAGCCAGGGGTTTTCATTTTTATTTATTTCATAAAAGTTATACACCGCTTGATTGTAAAAAAACACAAAACAAAAACCACTTCAGAGGGGTTTACAAAAGATAAAACAGTTCCAGACTTACAGAAGCTGTCCCAGTTTCTGATTTGATCCCAGAATGTCCTGGTTTTCTTTAAGATGTCCCTACTTTCATCAGCAAAATGTTGAAGGGTATGGTAGGACGTCCCTATTTTCATCAGAGGGTATGGAGTTTTGTGACCTCTGCGTCAAGAAGATAAGTACCTATACAACCTTTAGAAGACATCTGAAGGCAGCCCTTTATAAGGTCATTTTTTAATATTTAATGCTGGAGCAACCCAGTCTGATGGGCAGGGTATAAAAAATAAATAAATAAATAAATAAGGAATAGGATGTCCCTATTTTCATCGGGGCGTGGGTGGCACTGTGGGTAAAACCTCAGCGCCTAGGACTTGCCGATCGCATGGTCGGCGGTTCGAATCCCCACGGCGGGGTGCGCTCCCGTTGCTCGGTCCCAGCGCCTGCCAACCTAGCAGTTCGAAAGCACCCCTGGGTGCAAGTAGATAACTAGGGACTGCTTACTAGCGGGAAGGTAAACAGCGTTTCCGTGTGCGGCTCTGGCTCGCCAGAGCAGCTTCGTCACGCTGGCCACGTGACCCGGAAGTGTCTGCGGACAGCGCTGGCTCCCGGCCTCTTGAGTGAGATGAGCGCACAACCCTAGAGTCTGTCAAGACTGGCCCGTATGGGCAGGGGTACCTTTACCTTTATTTTCATCGGAGAAATGTTGGAGGGTATGCTACTCTATAACATACAGAAATTAAAATACTAAAACAGTTAACTTTCTAAGCATCTGGGTAGGTTTGTCTAAACAGGAATGATTTTAGCAGAAAGAGTAAAGTGAAGGTGCCTGCTTGATCTCAATCAGCAGGGAGTTCCAATGGGTGCTGTGACACTAAATGATCCGAGTTCTTACAAATGCAGAACAGGTATTATGTGGCACTTGTAGTAGGCCAATTCCACCAATCAAAGCGGTCAACTGGGCATATGTGAGGTAAGGTAATCTCGCAGGTAAACTGGTCCCAAGTTGTTAAAGGCTTTATATAGTGATAATAGCACATTGAACTTGGCTTAGTAGCAAATCGGCAAGTAGCGCAGATCTCTTGAGCACAGGCGTTCTAGGCTGACAAGGCCTCACTCCTGGCTGCAGCCGTGCTGCGGCGTTCTGCACGACCTGCAGCTTCCAGATCAAGCGCAAGGGAAGCTCCCACATGGAGCGCATTGCGGTAATCCAGTCTTGAAGTAACCAACACATGAATTATTATGGCAAAGCTTTCCCGGTCTATGGCGACCCGTGTTGGGCTTTCATTTAAAGCTTGCTTTTCCACCCCAGAGCCTGTTTGCAACAGCCTTCGAGCGACTTGATGTGGCGGAAGTAATATACCGGGGTTCTTGGCTTCCACACCGCCTGAGAAGCATTGTTCTCAATCACTGTAATGTAGCTGGCCACTTCTGGAAACAGTGTGTGGAGTTAAATCGGGGGTGGAGAACCTGAGCGTCCCCCCATGATGATGCTGTACTACAACTCCCATCATTCCTGACATTAGCCATGCTGGCTGGGGCTGATGGGAGTTATAGAATCCAACATCTGAAAGGCAACAGGTTCCCATCTCTGAGCTTAGATGAACCTTTCAATCAAGGCAATGCCATTTGAGAGTGTGTGTTTATGAATTTATATATATAAAAAAATTACTGTAGTCACAAGATAATTGTGTTGTCATTTTAAATAGCATTTTAATGTAAAAAGGTGCATTTACATCTAAAGGTAGGCCCAATGTCAGATGAAAAGCTGAAACAGAAGAGAATAGCAGCTTTCCCCAAACTAAGCCAAGGAACTCACAGCTAAAACAGGATTAAAACCCACATCTCCATTACTCATGGCCACAAGGAAAGGTGGGCATCTCAAGAGCCCGGCATTCTTGCCCTCCTCTCATTCTTGCCCTCCTCTCTGGGGGGCTGTTTGCACTGGTGGCTGATTTACTATTGAAAGTACCTAGAAATTAAAACCACCTACAAGCAGCGTGGACTGACAACTTTTCTGGAATGCAGCTCGAATTTCCATCATTGCCTTTCCGCTGTCCTCTCAAAACTGTTGCGACTCAGGGAAGCAGAATAGATCCATAAGAAGGAACAGTACTGTTTCTGTCTAATGCTGCCAACCTACAATGCCTGCTCAGCATCAAATGAGATGCCTTAAGCCTCCAAACCACCATCTCCTGCAAAGAATGCCCTGACACTCTACCTCTCAGGGCACTGGGAGTGCCTCCATCATCCAGAAGCTCAATGGTAGAGCCCTGTTTTGCATGCATAAGATCCCAGGTTCAATCCTCAGCAGCTGCAGCTGAAGCATCTATGTAGCTGGTCTGGAAAGTGCCACTATCCGTCAGAGCCGTCACTACTAGGCTAGGTGAACCAACTCTCCGACTCCAAATAAGGCCGTTTAATACACCCTACATTACTGGAAACATTATTGGAAAACAGGCCAGGAATCCTGTCTCTTTGATCCTCCAGCCCCATCTTGTGGGCTTACAGCAGTGCAGACCTCCAGGCAGGCAACATTTTGTAAGGATTCAGTGGGTAATACAGCCAAAGCACAAAAGCAGAGCGTAGATGTGGAAGGATCCTAAGCATTGCAAGGCGGCTGGCAGAATTCTAAAGGAAAAGGATAAATATCATCAGAATTCCTTCACTCCTCTCTTGCTCGCTTTTGGCAGAAGCAAGTTCCCTATGTCAATGAGATACTGACCTCACAAATGCCAAGAAGAGAGTGACAGGTAAAGCCTTTGCACCTACTACAAACTTTTGTGTTTCCACCGCAATTCGTGCCTAGTTTTTCTTAGCTTCTCCCTGTGCCTTCCAGCTTGAGAGTAAGGAAGGGGGCATGACATTTCACAGCTGTGGAGTGAAATAAGCTGGTGGAAAAGCACCACGCAGATCTGAAAGGCAGTGAATAAATTTGGTCCCAGCAACCTCAGCCGCCAGATGGAACTTAGCCCAGCAGGATGGCTAAGCTCCCATGGAGACTTCCTTCCAGACCACTGAAATGAGCCGTTTGGGGCCCCTCAAAAGCATCCCCAGTGTGCCAAAAGCCACCAAATCAGATGGAAGTATATGTCACCAGAACCCCAAAAGGAAAAAGCTATTGATGACAGGGGAGCAAAACGTGTGAGAATTCATCTCTCAGTTCATCTGCTTTTGAGCAGAGCAGAGGTGTAGCTAATCGCTCTCCCCTCACAGGGGCTCGACTCCCCTTGCAAAACACAGAATGGAAACCTGGAAGGAGAGAAAGAGAGAGAGAGAGAGATTGTCATGGACTGCTATCAGGCTGCAGTAGAAAGAAAGAGAAACAGGGCTACCATCAGTTCTGTTGGGAAATGCAGTAATCCCTGGCTCTTCCCCTCCTTGGACTCTTTCCATTCCAGATGGTCATTTTGAGAACCTTGTAAGTGAAATAACTAACAACAACTAAGAAATAGTGTACAGTTTTTCTTTTTTCCTCCCCCCCCTTTTTCTTTTATGTCAAGACTACCTTAAGCTTGAAGACAAGGGCTATCTTATTATTAATCTTTTCAATCTACTCTGGGAGCCTTTCTCAGCTGAAGAGCAGGTTAAAATGCTTCAGATTAACAAAAAGTAACCAGAATGGATGAGTAGTGTATGGGTCATTATTAGCATTCCTTCAAAGTAGTCATAAGTGACCATTTTTCTGCAACAGATAGGTAGCCGTGTTGGTCTGCCATAGTCAAAACAAAAAAAAATCCTTCCAGTAGCACCTTAAAGACCAACTAATTTTTCTGCAGATAATATTTTACTGTATCTCTGCTGCTCCTGTAAATTGCACAAGAAGAGCTCTTTTTGGAGTCAAGGTGGGGGAGAGAGCAAGTGTGTGGCTACATCAAATACTGGAGAAAGAAGATTTGAGAAAAGTAGCCTTGCGTGTTATGAGCTTCCAAGACTCACAGGCCTTGCAGCGATTGCACCTTGGGACTGCTGCCATTTCCTAAAATTTTAACACACCCCACCATTAGCAAATAAACCAGGGTCCACTGGCTTACAAAGTTCCCCCCAAACCTGCCTTACAATAACCCTGTAAGGATTACAACCAAGTAAGTTATGTGCAGTGGTTTGAACATGCGAAAGCGCTGGACAAACCTCTGGTCTATGGGGTCATGAAGAGTCGGGCACGACTAAACAACAACAACAAGCATTATTATTGTTAAAAGAAATTATTTTGCCCACTGATTGCTTTTTTCTGGTCATCCTTGCATAAGAAGTGCATGTTATACATAGCCCCAACCTGCACCCTGGAACCCACCTTTAGAGGTCACGGGATTTGGGGAGTGGCTCAGATTGGGGGCACTTAGTTCGGAAGGTGATCCCGTCCCCCGGCAAAGGGGAAGCAATGAAAGGCATGAACCACACCAGGTGCCCCTGATTCCCCAGCACTTCCCGAAGGTTGTCTTTCCAGCCCAAGTCGTACTGACGATCTCCTTCGAACCATTCGTTGGTCGTCTGCCCACGCAGGGCCAGCAGGCTGTGAAAGAGCAGGAAGCCCGTGCAGAAGAGGAAGCCAACAATGCAGACGTCAGTCACAAAAGCAAAGATGAAGATTGTGATGTTCACCTGCCCTACAAGAGAGATCCAAGTGCTACATTAGTTACCAAAAGGAGAGAGAGGAAGATGGGATCCCAGGACCCCTCCATCTGCTTTGCTGGAAAACCAGCAACTTTTGGCTCTACCTCTCATCAAAATCTTTCCATTTCACCTTCTCTAAGAAATGTCTCTGTTTGCTCCCCACTTCCCAATGCCCTTTCCCTTTGTGCAATGGCTTGTATATCGTAAGCCTGACGGCAGGGATGCCTTATCTTTAGAGGAAGGGACCTTGCTGAGTGGTAAAGTATCTGTTTTGAATGCAGAAGGTCCCAGGACAGGTAGAATCATAGAATTGTGGAGTTGGAAGGGACCACAAGAGCCATCTAGTCCAACCCTCTGCAATGTAGGAATCTTTTGCCCAATGTGGGGCTCGAACCCATGACCCTGATATTGAGTATCTCATCCTCTATCAATTGAGGTAAGCCTGGGCTTGAATTAAACCCTCTCCACAGATACAGGCATCCCCCCACTTGTGCACCTACAACCACGTATAGTGGCACCGGGAAATAATTAAGTAATTTAATTCATACCAGGAAATGGAAGAAGAGAGCTGGAGAGTCCTCATGGCTCGTGAGGAGACCCTCCCCAGAGCTTGAAGAGGACAGGTAAAGGCAGCGGAAGCCCCAAAGAGACCAGAGGCACAGTGAGGCACAGTTTAGGCTGTTCAGCCTCTCTGCCTAACAGCTGATGCATGCGTTAGCACAGCAGCAACCTTTCCGCGCATCCTCCAGCCTTCTGCAAGCCCCAGAGCTTCAATTCCAGTTGCGGATATTTTTTTGTACAGTATTTTTGATCTGGATTGGAGAGAGAGAGGCACCAAGGGTCTTTCAAGGGTGTTTAGGGGGCACTCCCCACATACACGATTTTCCTGTATGCGTGCGGGGCGCTGGAACGTCACCCCCGCGTAAGAGGGGAGTCGCCTGTACTCTCAAAAGCAGGGCTGGTACTATTAAGAGTGGTGCAGAGGCCTATTTCGTCGGTTTCCAGCATGCAACTGTAGGGCTGTGATGGAGTCTGTACTGCGCCAATGAATCTTACCCATCAGTAACATAAGCCAGGGAAGTAGTAGCAGCAGCATCGCCTGGACAGAGGTGCCCTCCTGGAGCAGTGATAGGACCACATCAGCATTGATCACGCAGCCGTACAGCAAGGCGACAGAGCCATGTAGCAGCAGGCAAAGGAAGTAGCGGTAGTTCTGGTATCCCAAGCACTGGCCAAGCAAAGTGCAATGGTGGTCGCGCCGCAGGATGCAAACGTTGCAGGAGAAACAGTGGCTGCAGCGGGGAGGCACGTGAGATTGGCAGGAGTAGCAGTAACTGAAAGAGAGTGAGGAGCGACGGTGAGGTTTCTACTGGGCTCATCTTACTCCACTCACTCAGCCCTGTGGCAGAGGACATGATTTGCATGCAAACGGTCCCATGTTCAATCTCTGGCATCTGGAGGGGGGGGGGGAACCTCACTTAAATCCCAGATGAACCATTGCCCAACAGTTTGCTTAAAACTGGTTTAATCTAGTGGTTTGACTTGGCATAAGGCAGCTTCCAATGTTGCTTTTTTAATCTTAGAAACTCTGGTAAATGCCTTTTGGCAGTTTGGTCCCTCAAGGAAAAGGTCACACAACAATTGGGAGATGAACCCGGCTCCAACCATTGGTCACAAAAGGAGCAACTGTGGGGACAGTGCTTCTCTCCTCCATTGCAGGAAAGGCTTCCCTGGGACTGTCGAGCAGCCAGAGGATTAAAGGCTGCTAGGTTGTGTGCACAGATATGTGAGGGAGTATTCTTTCAACCAGTTATAAGTCACCCTGAGCAACTGATTGAAAGGTGGAGCATAAAACTGATAAAACAAACAAATAAATACACTGAACAATAAATACATTTTTTAAAAAAGGCAGTATGCCTTCCCCCCAACCATAAATTAAGTTCTACTAAATTCAATGGGGGTTACAGTACTCCCATTTATTTCTACCTGAAATGCTTTTATTTGTTTATATGTTAATTTCTACATTGCCCTATTAAGAACAAAACCTTCTCAAGGCAGCATACTTAATAAAATCAACCTAAGAGACAAAATTCAAAGATAAACAAAGAGGCAAATATCAGAAGAACATAAAAATAGGTCACATGACAGGATAAGCTCTTGTAAATAATATGCTTTAACCTGGAATCTAAAATCAGGCACAGAAACCTCCCTAGCATACAAATGCAATGAACTGCACAATGTAAGTGCTGCTGCAGTAAATACCCATTTCCTTGTGGCCACTGAGGAATTCATTTACAATATTCCTCTTTCGTTTGTACAGCATACTCATTCATTTTTTAATCTTACATATTAAATCCATTTCTCTAAATTCCCCTTGGTATTTCTCTCTCTCTAACACTTGCCTCCATCATCTTAACGAAGCTGGGTCTTGCTTACAAAAAAAACAAACAAAAAACCTGTGCTGCAAGCCTGCAATACATTTAGAAATGCTAGTACCTGCCAGGTAAGACATCTGGTTCAGTACTGTTTACTCTGGCAGAGCATCTAACACAGAGTTGTCTACCCTGAAATTCTCAGGGGCCTTTCTCATTATCTGCTACCTGGTTCCCTTTTTAAGTAATGGCCCCAGAGATGGGACCTCCTGTCTGACAGCTGTGATTTCTCCTCAATTCCTTTCCCTTTAAGGTACCCCAAGTTTTTAGCTAGGCCTCACGGGTGCTGTTGCTCTCCTCAGGGCTTTTCCTCCTCTGACAAAAAAGAGCTTTGAAAAAATAAAATCCAGTGAGAAGAGTGCCTCTGAGCATGTCAGGCCAAGGCGCTTTCCCTAGCCCAGGCTTCCTCAAACTCGACCATCCAGATGTTTTTGGCCTACAACTCCCATGATCCCTAGCTAGCAGGACCAGTAGTCAGGGATGCTGGGAACTGTAGTCTCAAAACATCTGGAAGGCCAAGGTTGAGGAAGCCTGCCCTAGCCTAACAAAAAACGCCTTCCCAGTCCTTTTCCCGCCACTTCCCCAAGCCCCGCCTCCACACTCCCACGCCCTTCTCTGATTGGCTGCCGTCCGCCGAAGCCCCCCCCAACTCACTCCCATCCTTGCCCCGCCCCCGCCAGCATAACGCCGCGCGTGCTGGGCGAGGCGGTGACGAAACGGCGCGCGTTCTCGAGCACGTTCCCCAGCAGGAAAAGCAGCGATGCCAGCGACACAAATGGGAATGCTTCCGTCTTAGGGGCCTCGCTCCCGCGCTCGCCGCCGCCTCCGCGTTGCCGAAGCAGCAGCACCGCGACCACCTCCAGGGCGAGCGCGCCCACCAGCGCCGCCCCCACGCACACGGGCAGCACCCTCCGCTCCCAACCGCTGCCGGCCATAGCGGCGCATGCGCGACGCCGGAGGAAGTCTTCGCCAATCCAAAGAGCGAGCGGGCTCTGGGGACCGCCTTTAGGAGTGTGATTGGCGAGCCGCCTAGCCAATCCATCCGCCACGTGAGGCGGCCCTCGCGCTGTGTTTACCTCACAGCGATTCCTGTCAGTGGGGCGCTTGATTGACTTACGCTGACAATGTGAATATAGTCGCCTGTTTAATAAATATTTAGCAAGTCTGCTCAGAAGCCCCACTGAGTCAAAACACTAGCAACTTAAGCTGCTGCACACCATACATCTAAGGGCCTCTACCCTAAGGTTACCAGATTTTTTTCAATAAATCCGGGGACACTTTAAAAAATAATTATTTTTTTTAAAATTAAGAAAAAAGCTATTTTTAAAAAAATTAAGAAAAAAAGTCAACACCACGGATCAAGGTTTTTGAAACTGCGAGTAGGTCCTCCAGTGGGCGGACGGCACCCAGTGGGGACTCCGAGATACAGCCGATTCTCCTGCTTTCGCTGCGGGGCTGCCCCAAAGCTCCCAGCCGCCGCCGGCTGAAGTGATCCAGCGCTTCTTGCCTCTGCCAGATCAAACTCAGAGCTTTTGCACGAACACACCCACCCCCGCACTGCTCCTTTCTCTTTCTCTCGCCCCCATCACTCCTCCTCTCCTCCCCAAAGCCGTGCAGCCGCAAGCAGCTCAAATGGAGTGGGAAATGGCCAGTGGTGGCAGATCGAGCCTTTAGATTATCTCCACATTTGGTACTTTAGCTGTCTCTAATCCGCTTTTATTTGCCAGAAGCCCCCCTCCCACCAGCTTGGGCGGGTGGTGGCGGGGGCGGCAAGGAGACAGAAGAAGCCGGGTGGTGGAGAATATATATGTGTGTCCCCCCATATATTTTGGCTGCCGCCGCTTCTAAACACGTTTATATGATAAGCTGAGCCCAGGGGTGGGTAGAAAAAAAAGGGGGGGTGGAGATTTGGAGGAAGAGGTGGAGGCGGCTTCAGTTCAGAGCTAGTGGAGAGTCCGTGTCAGGACATCGCAATCCTGACACAGTCACACACAGTCATCGCAGTCACACACAGAGAGAGGTGCATGGACGAAAGGGAGCTGGCAATACAATTCACTGGGATTTTTCTTTTAAGAGCGATTTCACTCGCCTCCCCCCCGCCCCTTTTCCTCTCTCTCTTCCTTTCTCTCCCATTGCTTTCAGCGCGACCAGCTTTGCTCTTGATGGAAAAAGGTAAAAGGCGGATCTACACGGATCCTCGTGAATTCATATGATTTTTTCATTCAAATTAAATAAAACCACCATGATACTGTAGTAGACCATGTCTTACTCTGTAGAAAGCATCAAAAAAATCACGCATCCACTGTTTCGGGGGGGCGCAGGGGCGCAAAAACATGGTTAAAAAACACGGATCCTCATGGATCCTCATGATTTTTGCACTAGATCAGCCCAAAGTCACCATCAGATCAAAGATCATGGCCATGGGCACAGCATCCACCACAAAAATCATGGATCCACGGCTTCCTGGCGAAACCGTGGCCCAAAAAACGTGGTTTTGAAGCACGGATCTTCATGGATCCACACGCTTTTTGCATCGGGCCAACCCAAACTCACCGTCAAATCACATATCATAGTCGGGGGCACAGCCTACACCACAAAAAAACTCGGATCCACGCCTGCCTGGCCACGCCCTGGCCCAAAAAACGTGGTTCCGAAGCACGGATCCTCATGAATCCTCATGATTTTTGCACTAGATCAGCCCAAAGTCACCATCAGATCAAACATCATGACCAGCAGCACAGCATGCAACACAAAAATCATGGATCCACAACTTCCTGATGAAACCGTGGCCCAAAACTTGGTTCCGAACCACGGATCCTCATGGATCTTCACACTTTTTGCATTGGGCCACTCCAAACTCACCGTCAAATCACACATCATTCCCAGTGGCACAACCTGCACCACAAAAATTACGGGATCCACGGCTTCCTGGCCACTCCATGGCTCAAAAAACGTGTATCGAAGCATGGATCCTCATGGATCCTCACGCTTTTTGCATTGGGCCAACCCAAACTCACCGTCAAATCACATATCATGGCCAGGGGCACAGCATCCACCACAAAAATCACGGATCCATGGCTTCCTGGCCACTCCATGGCTCAAAAACGTGGTATCGAAGCATGGATCCTCATGGATCCTCACGCTTTTTTGCATTGGGCCAACCCAAACTCACCGTCAAATCACATATCATGGCCAGGGGCACAGCATCCACCACAAAAATCACGGATCCATGGCTTCCTGGCCACTCCATGGCCCAAAAACGTGGTTTCGAAGCATGGATCTCATGGATACTCACGCTTTTTGCAATGGGCCACCCTAAACTCACTGTCATATCACACATCATGTCCAGGGGCACAGCCTGCACCACAGAAAACTCAGATCGACGGTTATCGGGCAACAGCATGGACCAGAAACATGGTTTCGAAGCACGGATCCTCATGGATCCTCATTATTTTTGAACTAGATCAGCCCAAAGTCACCATCAGATCAAACATCATGACCAGGGGCACAGCTTACACCACAAAAAACTCGGATCCATGGCTTCCTGGCCATACCGTGGCCCAAAAACATGGTACCGAAGCATGGATCCTCATGGATCCTCATGATTTTTGCACAAGATCAGCCCAAAGTAATCATCAGATCAAACATCATGGCCAGGGGCACAGCATGCAACACAAAATCACGGATCCCACGGCTTCCTGGTCATACCACAGCCCCAAGAACATGGTTTTGAAGCACGGATCCTAACGGATCCTCACACTTTTTGCATTGGGGCCACCCCAAACTCACTGTCAAATCACACATCATGTCCATGGCACAGCCTGCACCACAAAAAAACCTCGGATCCACTGCTTCCCGGCCATATTGTGGCCCCAAAAAACGTGGTTTTGAAGCACGGATCCTCATCGGATCCTCATGCTTTTTACATTGGGCTAACCCAAACTCACTGTCCAAATCACACATCATGTCCAGGGGCACAGTCTGCACCACAAAAGACTAAGGATCCACGGTTATCTGGCAACGCCATGGCCAAAAAACGTGGTTTTGAAGGTCGGATCCTCATGGATCCTAACGCTTTTTTCATTGGGCCAACCAAAACTCAATCGGCAAATCACACATCATGGCCAGGGGCACAGCCTGCACCAGAAAAATCACGGATCCATGGCTTCCTGGCCACTCCATGGCTCAAAAACATGGTTTTGAAGCACAGTACTCATGCGATCATCACACTTTGGCGTTGGGGAACCCCAATTCACGCCTTTATTCACATATCTTGTACATAACCACAGATCTGACCACAAACATCATGGATCTACTGCTTCATGGCCCTGGCCAGATGCTACCCTGGGATATATTGGCCAATTTTTTATAGGTGGGTGTGCTGGGAATGGAGGAAAACAGTGTCGGCTGAATCTCTATCCTTTAAAGATGGGGCGTCCAATGGCTGGGCCAGAATAAATTTCAGTTGTGGTTTGCCAGCTCCCAGCTCTTCATGGGGTGCAAATAGTCACCTGTAGCTGCCATCAGAGTCCTGGTGTGATCTGGATGCTTCTGTCTCTATGGAGGCATTGGTCACAAATTGTAGCCAAACTGGAATTTTGAATCTATGTCAGGTTAGGCAATCGCACTGTACTGTCCCTTTCCAACCTATGCCCATGGTGATCCATGCAGTAGTCACCTGCATACAAGGTACCCTCGCAAGACGAATGCCGCAAGACGGAAAACTCGGAAGACGAAAGGGTTTTTGGTTTTTTGAGCTGCTTCGCAAGACGATTTTCCCTATGGCTTGCTTCGCAAGATGGAAATCTTGCAAGTTTGTTTCCTTTTTCTTAACACCGTTAATACAGTTGCGACTTGACTTCGAGGAGCAACTCATAGCACGTGGTGTGGTAGCCTTTTTTGAGGTTTTTGAAGACTTTGGTGATTTTTGAAGCTTTTCCAAAACTTTTCCGACACCGTGCTTCGCAAGACGAAAAAAATCGCAAGACGACAAAACTCGCGGAACGAATTAATTTTGTCTTGCGAGGCACCACTGTACTAGACTACTTTAACTTCTGCTACACTGACGCTGAGCGGGGAGTGCAGGGTGTATGTGTGTGAGTGGAGAGAGAGAGAGAGAAGAGAGAGAGAGAGAGAGAGAGAGAGATATGCAGGGCTACCCTTGAGACTGCTCCAGAAACTCCAAATGGTCTAAAATGCAGATGCATGAGTTCTTACTTGGACTTTGTGGAGAGCCCACATTCAGTTGGTTGTTCATCAGCTGGATTGGCTCCAGGTGGAGTATCGAATCAGGTTCAATGTTTTGGTGCTAATCTTTAAAGCCCTAAACAGTCTGTGACCTTTCTTATCTGTGGGAATTATCTTCCAATACACCCCCATGAGTGTGACGCTCATCTAACAGCAACCTACTGGTGGTCCCTGGCCCAAAACATATCCAGCTGTCCTCAACCAGAGCCAGAGCCTTTTTGGTGGAACACTTTGTCTAATGAGACCAGGGCTCAGTGCAATCTATCTCAGTTCTCTCACTTGTCATGGTGAGTGGGCTTGCACATTCCTATGACCCTTGTGAGCGAAGCCGTTGGGAATCTCGTACTCCCAGCAGGGTCACCCAAGGTGGTAAGGTCAAAGAAAATTAAATATGCTCAGAGTCCTGTAGTGATTTCATGCTCTTTATTGCAGCTTGTAAAACAGTGACTGAATTCCCCCAAAACCTCAGGCTTTTATATACATTATTTACACAATGAGTCCCGTCTGACTGGCTGATTCTGCTTCCCTCCTGGAGCCTGATTGGTCTTTTCCTGCAAGCCAATCAGTTCTTGCATTCTAGGATCCTACTTGCCTATTGTTCTAGGATCCAAGCTTAGTACATAACAGGGAAGGAGTTAGACAAAGAATGATCCAAGAAGTCCTCAACGGCAGAACAGGCGGGTGATAACAAGCAGTGTGTTACAACGGCTCTGAAGGCGGATGAAGGCTGCAGCAGATAGGATCCACCAGTTTGTCGTGACTACTCATGCCATCAGAACAGAGCCCTACTGCGAAGACTGTGCGTTGGTCAGCGTGCACTAATCTACACACATAAAACAAATTCACGCACAGGCGTCTTCCAAAAACCCAACCCAACCCCCCAAACCCAACGCACCCCATGGCGATCAACTTAAATGGCTCAGGGGCAGGAAGTGAAGTCCCCCTAAGTCATGAACCCGATCACATGGCGTTCAGCACGTTCTGACTCAAGGAATATAGGGCAGTTGAGCAGACTCAGGCAGCTGTATCCATGATGAGGGCAGCCCTTTTTAGGAATCCATCTATGGCTCACCCCGAAAGAGAAGAGGCTGGAAATGGTGCCCTAAACCATAGTATGCTCCCTTTTTCCCTGATGTGATTACCGCGCCCGGCTGGAAATCTCTTTTCCCATAGTTTGAATCCATTATTCTGCAATCCTAGTCTCTGAACACAGACAAATCGCTTGCTCCCTCTCAACATGACATCCCTCAAATATTTAAACATGGCTATCATTCACTCCCTATCTCTCTCTCTAGATTAAACAAATCCAGCTCCCCTAAAGAGTCCTCCTCATAGCTTGGATTCAGACCTTTTACATTTTGGTACCCTCCTCTGGAACATGTTCCAGCTTGACCAATATCCTTCTTCAACTGGACACAGTATTCAGGTTGTGGTCTGACCAACCAGAATAAGTGTGTACATTCCTTCACTTATCTAGACACTTACTCAGAACCTATTGATCAGCCCGATTGCATTGGCGTCTTAGCCTCCACATCAACAGCTGTTGACTCAATATTCAGCTTGTGGTCAACTAAGACTCCCAGATCCCTTTCACTGGTACTGTTGTCAGCCAAGTGCCCCCACCTGTGCATTTCATTTTTTCTATCCAGGTGTAGTACCTTATACATTTCTCCCTATTGAACTCCATATTGTGGTTTGGCCGCAGCCTCTCTGCTAATTCAAGGTCATTTGAAATTCGACCCTGTCCTCTCCCCTCGGGTAAGCAACCTGTCAGGGAACTGACATCAGAGACACGGAGAAGGAGAAGGGTCTCAGACATCTGGGGCAGGTGAGAGGTCCCTATGGCAGCAAAGGGGGAGACTCAAAAGCTCGGTGGAAAGGGAAGGAAATACGTGTTACACAAGAGCCAGGAGAGCAAGGGGAAGAGGAGTGGAAGGGCTCACGGGATTCTTCCCAGGAAGTCAGGAAGAGAGCCAAGGCACATCCGCTAACCAAGCACGCCCACCTGCGCAGGAGCACTCCCGCGCAATGAGAGGCGGGAGACGATTAGGTGTCAAACAGCTTTTAATGATGAGTTTTGCCTGCCCATGCGAAAAGGCGTAAGGATCCATGAGGATCCGTGCTTCAAAAACTACGTGTTTTGGGGCCACGGTATGGCAGGAAGCCGTGGATCTCAGTTTTGTGGTCCGGGCTGTGCCCCTGGGCCAATTGATGTGTGATTTGATGT